ATCTGTGTCTGCAACTGCTTGTTAAAAAGGCAACATTTTGGAAACCTCTTGGGCTGCTTTCTTGGCCAGCCACTATGCTAACACTCCAAGAGAGGAAAAAGGCATGTTTCTCAAAAGGGACTTTATTTTCTGAAGTGCAAACTGATTTAATTCCAAGGGTAACTACAGTAGTTAAGCTACTTCTATCATCTTGACTTCAAAAAAGTGAAATGCAAAAGGCCGATACTACTTTTGGACTGATCTGAGGCTATCAGACCAAAAGCAAACATTGTTACTGAAGTCACTTTGAAATTATGGTAATATATTTGTTTCAGGTGGAATGATTAAAAATAGAAAGAAGCTGGAGGACTGTTCTGTTTATGTAGAAGTCAGTTACTGCCATTCTTGAGTCCTGTAAACAACCCCTTCCCCTAATATAAAATTTAAGCTCAAAAATTAATAGAATTTCATCTTTTTACACTGTCTGTGGCAAATTACTTAAAACTGTAATAAAAATACACACTTGGTCATAGCCAACTTCAATTTTGTTTGTTTACTCTTTTGGAAAAATATTTAGAGCACCTGGCTTCAAATCATGCCAGTGAAGAATATCACTGACTCTTCTGCACATACTGAAAGATGCAGGTCAACTGCCTAGGCTATTGGAAGGTAACAGTGAAGCCACATTAAAACAACAGTTTAGATGAAATCAGCGTTACAATCCACAAATTGCTTTTTACATAGGACAAATTATGCAAACTTGTTAGGCAGAAGTAACCCTGGGTTCCTTCAGTAAGCGTGCATAAAGTTGAAATAAAGACCAACTCCCACAACATTTTAAAACAGAAGAAGAAACTCATATTTTAAACATTAATAAGAGATGCTAAGGAGGAAAAATAATTCCAGAGACTGGTCTGACAAACAACACAGAGCACGATAGCCAAAAGTGCTAAAACAACAAGCTCTGCTCTGAATATTAATTTGCCTTCCAACTGATAATTGCAAAGCTAACATTTACACAACATAGTCTGGCAAGGAAAATCTCCCATCCTATTTAACAGGCAGTTCTGCAAGGAGTGAATGGACAGCAAGCAGACAGAATACGTAATTAGGTTCCATACTTGTAGTATTTGGTCTCCAGCAAGAAGTCTTCCATCTCTGGCAATGATCCCATCTCGATAAACCTCTTGAATGACAATGTTGATCAAAGGCGTTTCATTACCACCCACTATGCTAATTCCTAATTCGATATAAGGATTAGACCGATGAATTTCAATAGTAGTGATCTCTCCTTCAGGCAAGGTAGGTGGCTGTTGATTTGCTGCCAATTATTTTTAAAAAGAAAGATTATTAATATCCTTTATATCTCATTCACTTTCAATAAAGTAAATCACCAAAGGACAATGCAGACAGTCCACACGACAACGGTTTAACAACAAACTAAACAAGTGCAATTGGATTAGTTCCACTACCTGTTGCAACACCTAGCTCATTAGAAACAGCTCTCTAACAACTTAGTAGCATCCATGCTTCCTGAAATGGGGTCATTTGGATTGGAAAAGGATATTCCGAACCCTTTGGATCCTGTCCTTTATATTTCAGACATTTCATTTCCAATTGGGTCACTTGTGTGTTCACATTTGGTGATGATGATAACAATGTGGTTTAGGGGCTACTCCATGGCGCATGACTTGGTCACGCCTCTTCATCAGCTCGTCTCACAACTGTGCTAAGAGCTGCTATTCAGTTACCGGGTCAAGAGAAGGAGCCCATTTCTGAAGCAAATATGGAGACAACTAAAGAGGAAAAAGGAGGATGCTAAAGGATGGCAAATACAGAGGAGGAGAAAGGGGACAGGACCACCTTCCTCTGTGGTAAGGCTCAGCGCTTCCTCTCTAAAATCCCAGATGCTAGAGACGTTACTGCTCGTTCGGTGCAGATGGATGCAGGAGTTACTCAGCTGCCTTTTTGCTTGAGCAGGACAGCACTCCGTGTGTGGGAAGGCTGCTGATCCAGGCAGGGGGTAAGAGGGAAGAGGGGAAAAGAAATCTCATCTTAGAAAACAACTTTTGTACTTTTACAGAAAATAAACTCCTGCCAGCTCACTGCGAGGCCAGTGCTACCAGCAGATTAACACGAACTACTGCACCATGATATGATAAACGATGATACAGCACCATGACATCTGGCACACACACTGAGATATTTATTTCCTTCATAAGTGTGACCTTATCGCAGTTGCATTCTTGCACATAACCCAAACCCACTAATATTTCTCTTTGCAAAAGCAAAGAGCAGAAGATGAAGATGCGCATTCACGGTTGGTAAGAGACAAGCTCTGACACCACAAATGTTTCCACATCTGATAAAAGAGAGTTGAGAAGATAAGTGATGACATACTGTCTGCTACTGTGTTCTCCTCAAAAGGCGGATTGTCGATGCCAGGCTCGTCTGTCCATGCGGGAAGGGCGGGCGAGGTGAAGCTCTGCTCCGCTGGCACTATTCCCTGATCTGCGTCTGGAGATAAACTGCTGGGCTGCTCCGTCCCACCGGGACCGCTCTCGCCCTCTGCTTCTGCTTGCAGCTTGCTGGTTTTCCTTCTCTCCAGAGCAGCCCTTCGATGTGAAGCGCCAGGACACCTGTGAAGACAACATTTATACCATGCCTCAAGCCTGAAGCAATGTTTGTAGCACAGAATGCCTGAGCGAAATCAGTCTTCTTCAAAGCCACAGCTTTAAACTCATCATAAAAAATATTAAACACATTGGATTTTAAAGCCAAAATATGTTTTAGTGGTCAGAACCTCAAAACAATACTGCCTTCTTCACAACACTTCTTCTACTTAGCTTTTTGGCCATGAACTAAATGTGCTGTAATACCTTCTGAATGTGGGCTTACTCTGTTATGTACATTCCAGTTTCTGGAAGACAACCTTGCTGAAAAGATTAAACAGGACTGGCATAAAATTCCACACAAGAGAAGCCCCGTTCAAAGACACATTTGGAGACCCACTAAAACAATCCCCTTTCACCTTAACAAGCCAAGAGAAGGACGCATCATATTTTCCTGGGGTCATTCGGGGGAAGAAAGAGATGAAAATTTTACCTATATTGCAATCTAAGTGTTAAAAAAATGGAAAAAAAAAAATGCTTCTCTAGGAGTTTTTATGAAAAGTTTAGCAAAAGTAACAGCTCTGCTCATGATCTCTTGAATCAGCAGAAGGTGTTTCATCCTCCTCCCGTTTTCCCTTTTTTTTTCCTGACTTCACACAGGAGGTGCAATTTTTCTGCTTTCCCTCATGTAACAATGCTCCATCAGCATTCGGCGCTTTTCACTACAAACTCATTTTTGTGAGTTCCCATTATTCTTAATGCAATAATTTTTTTTGCTTATGTTTAAAATCCTACAATAGTTTACTGCAAAGAAGGGCTGCAATGTTGCAAATCCACAGAAAGCCTTCATTTATCGAATGGTCTTACATTCACGTGTAGATAATTGGATGTGAACATCAATCTCATATCTGCCTGTGTGACAGTTCTGCCAGCATCTGTTATTTCACTTCTCATAGTATTTGATGTCCTTCTTAAAGTCCCTGCTTCTGGAGCTGCTGACCACCTACAGTTGCTCGCACCGTAGCAGTGTGAGAAAAAAGGAATAATGGTCTTGAAAGGACTCCCTGTTTGGGAACTTGGCAGATTGTTATAACAAAAGAAGAAATGATTTATTTTTGCAACAGGAGAAGAAACGCATGAACAGTGTAAAAGACAGCAGAAGTCTAATGATGCCCTAACTTGTTAAACCAGAATGTTCTGAGAATCACAATTCTGTTCTGACGTTCTGTGAAGGAGATTTGATAATTACATGGTTACACTGTTTCAGCATGAGAGATTTTGAAGAAACATTAACAAACTTATTCAGCTCTGAAGAATGTTGATAAAGACACCTGTATAGCTTTTGTGACCCCCAGCAGTGTTATACATACATAAAGTGATATATATAAATCATCATATACATGTATTAAAGTCATTATATGCATGTTTAGAAGGATAGAATAAGGTAACCCAAATGTGCTGTGAAATATGCATAAATACCAAAATTAGAGACAGTTCACATTACAAAATGACACATTTAAGAAATAATTTCTTGGGGCTTTCCTCGAGGCGACCGCTGGTCACCTTGTTTATCAAAGCTAAAGACAGTGCAAGCATGAAAGATGAAAATTACCTAAAAGGCTTTTGCTTTGCAAAATAAGTTTATCTGATTTTAATGATGGAACATAACCCTACTTCTTGGTTTTGTCCAGGTAATATTTACTGCATGAAATATTTACTACATGAGCCGGCAATGTGCGCTTGCAGCCCAGAAAGCCAACCGTATCCTGGGCTGCATCAAGAGAAGCGTGGCCAGCAGGTCGAGGGAGGTGATTCTGCCCCTTTACTCTGCTCTCTTGAGACCCCACCTGGAGTCCTGCGTCCAGCTCTGGAGCCCCCAACATAAGAAGGAAATGGATGTGTTGGAGCAGGTCCAGACGAGGGCCACAAAGATGATCAGAGGGCTGGAGCACCTCTCCTACGAGGACAGGTTAAGAGGGTTGGGGCTGTTCAGCCTGGAGAATAGAAGGCTCCAGGCTGACCTTAGAGCAGCCTTCCAGTACTTGAAGGGGCCTACAGGAAGGATGGAGAGGGACTTTTCACAAGGGTGTGTAGTGATAGGACAAGGGGGAATGGCTCTAAACTAAAAGAGGGCAGATTTAGATTAGAAATTAGGAATAAATTCTTCACCATGAGGGTGGTGAAACACTGGCACAGGTCGCCCAGAGAAGCTGTGGATGCCCCCTCCCTGGAGTGTTCAAGGCCAGGTTGGATGGAGCTCTGACCAACCTGGTCTAGTGGAAGATGTCCCTGCTCATGGGAAGCTTTTTTCATTAATCACTGCACAATGCAAACCTCAAAATAAGAATCCCAAAGGGCCAAGACAGAGAGAGATGCAATTCCTTCCCTCAAATTTTCTAAAATACTTTAACTTGATGGGTTAGCCTCACACTCCCTCATATGTCAGCACTAACAGGAAAGAAAAAAGGACCAATCTCCAACACCACTCACTTCCACAGCAACATGGCAAGGGGTAAATGCTCTTGCAGAGGAAACCTCTTGTCTCCTGGGGGCTCTGACAGATGGGGTCTCCCACATGGATCCACAAGAGTTTAGGATGAAGGCACTCCAAGCTGCATGTCCTTGCTGTCCCTCAACTGCTCTGCTACAGGACTGGCGATTTTTCAGCAGAGATGAATGAATAGCTAAAAACTGACAGCGTCAGAGGATCATGCTTTAATTCCACTGAGCTTGGATGGCAGAGCCCAGCCTTACCAGACCACTTCTGTGAACCCAGATACTTCCTTCGGTATCTTCTACCACAATACTGTGCTGTTGACTCTTACTCAGCCAGCTCACAAGGCCTGTGGATCCCAAAGGACTTGGTGTGCATGGCAAAGCACACATTGGAAATCTGTTTTTTTTAAAACTACATCAAACCAGGGCAGAACAAAAATCATCCCTGGGAGTATCCTATTTCTGTCAAAGCCTTCCAGACCACAGCCAGGTCCTCCTCCACATTCCCCCATCGCTACCTGGCAGCTGATGAAAGTCGTCATGCAAAATATAAATAGATTTGTGGTGTGTTTTATTTAAATGATATTTAATTATCATTTCAAAGCCTAATATCAAGAAATGCAGCCTCCTGAGCACACCTACTCAGCTCAGAGGAATCCCTTTTGTGCAGCACTCTGCAAGGCAAAAAAGGAAAAAACCACAGATTCTTCCCCAAATGAACCAGTAATTGTAACAGACTACGACTTTCAGCCTAGCATAGTGGAACTGCACTGCCAGGAAAGTAGGTGTCTGGAAGAGACATTAATTCATGGTATGCTAACTCCTAGGTCTTTAAACACAGTATGCCACCTACCAAGCAGCAAAGCCCCTTGGTATTCAAGCACACCTATAAGGAGATTTTTCATTTCCATTTGCAACATAAAAAGATTTTTATTGGCAGTAGGAATGTATTATTCACAAACAGCAAAATGATACAGCAGTTGTAACAGTTAACAAGCACCAATAAATCTCTAAAGGTGCACACCTTCACTAATACTGTTTTTGCCAAATACCTGGGATAAGAGCATTTTGGACTAAATCTTGTAACAAATTACGACAGATGGGCATCTCGGGATCAAAACGAGCATTGAAGATTGTTTTTATGGGCACAGGAATCCACTCTCATACAACAAATTGCGTAAAAAAGGGCTGAAATGAGACTGAAATGTGTCATATAGGAACGACATTTCTTATGTACCTACAAAGCCAGAATATCTTGGCTAGGAGAGAGAGAAACGGCAGGAATGTTGTTTAGAATTTCCAGAAATTATTTAATTTCTTTCATGAATCAAGATGCTCAGGAGCAGAGATACTGAAACAACCAGCTAAAGCAACTGAGAGATGTTATTTATCGGGAAACTCACAGGGCAGTTGTTCTTGGGATGTAAAAATGAGCTTCGGCTTACATTCATCAATTCCCTTCTCTCCTCCCTTCAGCAGCAGCTTTTGCTCAGTTCTGGATGGTGAAAAGCAGGGCTTTTACCTTCAACTTCTCTTAATCCATATCAGACAGAGAAGAAAAGGGATTTTTTGGTTTTGATTTTTTTTTTTAGAGCCAAGTCTGCTGGGTTTCTCATTTAAAAGCTGACTTCTTGGAACACTAACAGCAATCCCTCTCTGCAGATAAAAAGAGTTTACATTCAAAATTAAGATGTAGTTTACAGTGTATTCCGTGGAATAACAGTAGGGGCTCAAAAAACACATTTGCTCGCTGGCTACTGAAAAGAATGATTTCATTGTAACTTCTGCCATCAGTTTCTGCCCACTCCAGAGGCTCGATAAAAGCAAACTCTACCAAATAGCCTCAAACCTGTTGCACTAAATTGTTTTCCAAGCAGGAGCTGAATCTAAGCAAAGACTGCAGAGAAGCAACCCAAATGCCTTTGCTTTTGCTCATAAAACTTTGCCAGCACAGTGACCTTAAGCAGTAATTCTGGCAAGATTTACAGCTGAAATTCTGAGTAAAACACGGTGCTGCTTTGGAAAGTTAAGTGTTTGGGTCTTGGATTTTCTTTTTCCAGGAAAAAAAAAAAAAAAAAAAAGGAGAAAAAAAAGAAAAGGAGGCACTAGAAGTTATCAAGGTTTGGGAATCAGCAAAGACTCAGGAAAAAGAAAAAGAAAAAAGAGTGGTTTTGTTGCACATCTGTCTCACACCCAATGATCTGAGAAGCCTACAAGGACCCAGGTAGCTTCAGAACAGAGACCAAGCACAGAAAGACCCATCACATTTCTAGCAATGGAAAGAGTCTGTAGGGTATGGAGAAACTCCAAATCTGTTGCCTATCCACTCATACAGGCATAAGAAAAGACCTGCCAAAAGAGGGTTGATCCTACAGATCCTCTCTACTTCTGCTGCTGCTGCGAAGAGCAGGGTAGGGACAGTGCTTGCAGCTACCGTGGGACCAGGAGGGACGAACCGGACTCAGCAGCACGATCATAAACACCAAAATAACTGGGACTGCCAAGATTTTGAATGATAGAATTATGTATCTATACAACGAATCTTCCCGTGGCTCTTTTTAATCTAAATTCATATATTAAGCATGCTGACTGACACACGGTGAATAGCTCGGTAATTTCTTCCATAAAATACAACCCTACATAAAGTTCATACTTAAGTTGACAGAAAATTGGCTTGACTGTTGGCCTTAACATTAAAACATTTGGAAAAATGTCTCCATCCAAAACAGTAACTTAAACTAATAGGGCTGAATATAGAAGGGGGAAAATGGAAGCCCAACTCAAAAGCAATACATAAACACAACACTTAACACTCTCACTAAAAAGTTGTATAAATTTCAGAGTATGTTTCTGTACAGTGAAGTTTGTTCAGGTCTGAATAATCCATAAGAATTAACTGAATTAAAGTCATACATAGAAAAGCTCAGTAATTTTTTGTTGGATTTCCTTCTGATAAATTTACCCTGGATGGATAGAAGTGGAACTGGCACCTACTTTACTAAACACTAACAAATTGTCTGTACCATGTGACTGGGAAAAACAGTAATACTCAGCATTACTGACATATTTTTTTCCTTTAAGTCAGATTATGTGCATTGTGTTTAACTTTCGAAACCACAGTTCCCAAGTAAATGTGATGAAACTGAAAGACTGATAAATCAAGAATATTTTCTTCCTGCAGTGAGGTATCACGGAGTGCAATTAGTGACCATGAAGTAATCAAATTTGTGTCTCATGCTTCTCATCTCCTTGCTGGAGCAGCTCGCAGCAACCTTACACTCCGAGGTGCCTGCTGGATACGATGACATTTTCTTCCAGCTTTTACGCTCAAATGGAGCCAATTATAACAACACTGCAAAACCTGAATGTGAATGTTTTCAGACAGTGAAAACTAACCAACCATACTGCATTTCCTAGAAATACAAACTAACTCATGCTTGTTGAGACTGGTTTGTATTACTCTATGCTGAAAATTATAATAATACTGAATTTTATATTTTTTTCCTACATTTAATGATCAGTAGTAGAATTTTACTGGATTCACTAATCCATATAAAATCAAATTCAAACTATGCAATTGCTGCTATCGTTTATGTCAGCAACGACAATTTACAGGTGCTCAGATGTTTGCAGATAAACTTAATTGAAAACTGTAAATCACCATATACTCAAAATGCATATCAGCATCCCAAGACAACAGAAGGAACTGAAGATGAGCAGCCATCTGCAACTGAAAGCATTTTCCAGCTGACAAACACGAAAAGCTAGTGGCTCAGCTCACTTCGATTTCATAATAACCTTGTGCATTAAGTAAATGAGTATTTCCTAAAGTGAGCACACGTAGTGTTCCATGTACAAATAAATTACATGGCCTTGTTGTAAACAACCTCAGTATAGCTCAAAGAGATGCCAACCAAAGAAAACAGACTGAAAAGTGAGGGAAATGACAGTAGGAAACCAAAAGATGAATCAAATATGTAGCAGGAGTCTTGCTAGCATTCTGCCTTTTACTAAAATCAAATAGGTTTAATATCAGGATTATAAGTCAAACAAACAGTAGGCAACCTCACCACCTCCAAGTCATCATACAGATCAGAAATTACTTGCCTGAAGGAAACAAGAAAGAGCCCAAGCTAACATGGAAACCGTGTGGAGTAATAAAAAAAGGAAAAAAAAGATGATAGAGAAAGGCTCCTCGTTAGTCCCCGTACCTCCCTGACACGGACACCACATGTACACATTCATGCTGGGAGTACAACAGCAAACCCCAGGCAACTCCAGGCTCACCACACTCCATAGGGTTGCCGCATGCAATGTCCTGCATGCCCAAGGTCCTCCCAGGCTCTGAACCCTCAGAAACCTTCAGGACACAGCCAAGAAGGAAGCGGGCACTCTAGAGAAACACATGTGAACAAACTTTCCAAGGCAGGCGGTGGCTGCTCTCTTCCTGTCTCTGCAGAGCTCTCACCCACACATACGCCCGCACCATGCCTGACTCCCAAGCAGTCTCCTCCGCAATGCCACCCTTCACCCAAAGATGGTCTCCAAGAGTCTTCAACTGCACAAAGACCGAGACTTGGAAAGAAGTTCATGGGGTAGATCCATGCACCTCTCAAGCAGACCTTTCCATGCGGGTGGCCAGAAGTGCCGCTGGACCCGAGCGAGGGCGGGCGGAGGAGGCACGCAGCTCACACCAGCCTCCTTTCAGGGGGGGCAACGGGGAAGGAAACCTCTCCCCATGCTGCCACCACTGGCCCTTCCTCTGGGCCCCAGGGTTGTCAATCCCAGTGGGGAGAGCTCTTTGCCCAAAGAGCCAGCACAGATAAGACTACCAAATCACAAAACACCCTCATGAAATGGGCAACTGCTGAAGTTTATGCAGGCTGGTTTAAAAAATATACAGAGGAAGAAAAAAAAAGAGTATCAAACTGAAAGAAAGCAAAGCAAGTAACAACAAAGCCCATGATGAAGTCATGGAAATGAAAAAGATCTCATCTCGGCCGGTGACCGAGGAGACCAGAAGAGTTGGGACTCATACTACCTGTTTTCTCGAGGAGTTGCCAGACAATATGCCTGTTTTTACGAATGCTGCTGACAAAAATGCTCACATGTTGAGCTTTATTTCCCTAGTGCCTTTCCTCTACGTCTAATGGATATACGCAATGCTTATTCTTCTGGGTTTGATGCTTTTTTGCAGGAACAGTTACACACTTCTCTGAAACCGCTCTCTGCAAAATGAACACAGGATTTCAAACAGCATTGATTTGTACACAGGGAATATTTTCTGGTAGCAGATGCAATTCACCTGAACTGGATCCTCTGAACTCAGATGCATTTCCCCTGAATACATAACTTCCTTCTCTATGTAATTCTTCACAATACTGCTCTTGTAATTTCATAAATCTATAAACAGTTGAAAGTTAGTTGGTATAGATATGCATAATATTTCTTAGCCCTGACTCATTAATTCCACCACATTTTAGCTTTAACATAAGTGGTATGTCCAACTTTTTGTTCATGACTCCTGTAATGAAATACCTAATGATGTAAAAAACTATCTGTTTATTTACTGAAAATATTCTCCAACCTATAGAGGAAATAAAAGAAGTCAAACATACCCCTTCAAATAAATTAAATATTTTTCCATTAGAAAAATAGCACTGCCTTACAGAGAAGAACAAAACATCTTCACATAGTAGGGTACCGCACACACGGTATGGAGGCATTTCCTTTGCTGGAAGAACAAAGTGCACTAGTTTGCACAATATGAACTATCATTCCATCTGAATTTCATAATCGTAGAATACAAGGTTGGAAGGGACCACAAGGATCACCTGGTCTAACCTTATAAAAAAACAATTTCTCCCCTTCCATCATGGCCTCCTTTCAATATTTAAATATTTAGGGTACGATGGCATAAAGCAGAAGAACTATAAAATTATTAACAGTTGAAAATAAGGTCCCAAACATTTAGGTGCAGGTAGTATTAGAATGTGTTTCTCTGACACAAAATCACTCATGAAAGCTGCACCCAAACTTCCCACTGAAGTGATGAGTTTCTACCAAATTAACAGGGTGTTGGAAGTGTTCTATAATCAATCACAACAAACAAACAAATCCTAGAAACTACATCATGTTCACATAACATACCATTAACCTGTTCAGTAAACAGATTTATTTTTACAACAGAGAAAAGTAGGTCTTGCAGGAGTCTCAAGAGACACCCTGTCCATCTGCCTACCTCAAAGCAGAATCAGTTCTGCCCTAACTGTTCCTGATAAAGGTTGGTTTAACATGCTCATAAACACTTCTGAGAGTGGGGAGTACACAACCACCACCCAAGCAATCTATGTCAATGCAGGACCTTTATAAAGCTTTTTTTCCTAAAATCTGAACTAAATCTCCTTTGTTCCTGTTGCACTATTTCCTTCCTCTTTGCAGACAGAGTTTGCACATTTCTCCTTTTCCCCCTCCCCCAGCCTTTTTTCCCCTACCATAAACCACCCCCATTTTCTTTAACTTTTTCTATGTATCATGTTTTTGAGACCTCTAATGAATCATGTTGTTCTCCCCATAACTCTCTCCAAGTGTTCTTCACTATTTCTGGTGCGATGCCCACAACATGATCCAGCGCTCCAGGTGTGCACAGTTACAGACCAACCATTTCCTACAGTGAATTTAAAAACCACCAACAACCTTCTCCCCCGTCCTGTCCCCAGTTTCTACTGCCACACAAACTGGCCTGCCAGGTGTGTAACGACCAGGCAAAACAAGCGTCTGCACCGCTCACCTGTTTTTGAGATGTGCCGCCAGGTCACATCGCTGCATGACTTCCTGACACACGGAAGAGAAGGGGCACAAAACACACAGCTTGTCTAACAGTTTATGAACAAGAATGCTGGATTTTTTGCAGAGTTTAAAATGGAGCCTTTTTCGATCCAGCGGGCAGAAATCCTTCTCCTGCAGAAAGTTCCTTAGGCACTTGTAGCAGAAAGTGTGTCCACAGGGAGTGTCCAACGGCTGCAACAAGGGCTGAAGGCAAATGTGGCAGACCAAGTCGTCGTCCACTTCATTCTGGTAGTTGTAGAGGTGGTTCTCCCTTGTCCAGTGCTGCTGGCCACACTCGAAGCACAGAGGGTTCAAGGAGGCATTTTGCTCCACCGAAGCCATGTCGTCACCTGTAGTCCCCATGGTACAGCTAAGAAGGCTGACGGATCCTCCTCCTCCTCCTCCTCCTCCTCATAGGATAGGGTTGCTCACGTAAAGCTCAGAGGGAAGCAACTTCTTCCAGGCTGACTTACGGTCTTCAGCCAAATGACATTTTCTGCAACAAATAAAAAGAATAAGAATTGTTCGTTTCGCACAAATTATGAAAGTTCTTGTCAGAACTTTTGACTTCTGGGTTTATCAAAACACAACAGTTGAACAGGTTAAAAGCATATTCCTGTTTTCTGTATATTTGTCATATAAGCGAGCAACAAAAAAAAAAAATCTGTAAGTGCAATTCCTTTTAGAACACAAACTTTTCACAGCTTCGTAACAGCTGCTGCACTGCGCAGTTTTCACCGGCACGATGACCGGTTTGTGACAGCAAGGGCACCGCATTATGCAATGTCACACTTTAAGTGTGCAATTACCATCTAGCACAAAAATCCCTGTTGTGGAATAGTGGTTATATGACGAAGTAATTAAATGTGTTCTTTAATATGAGATTACCATCTTAATCTGGTCCTACTCTCCTTTTTTGATTGTGACTATTAATGTAGAATATTACACATTAAAGGTCTAAATACATTGAATTAAAAATAACAGCAATGAACCACTTACCTTGTTCTTTTCATTAGTAATGTTGCATATAGGTCACCACTTACCTTCAGGTTTTCTCTGTGGGTTGCTACATGGTAACAGGGACTGATTCTATTCAATATACCACATCGGATTTAGTACAGAGGCCAGTAATAAAAATGTGGAATAAAGTAATCATACGAAGCTATTGGTTCCAAACAATTACCCTGTTTTCTTTTTATCTAACAAAATTACAGCATACTCCATGTCACAATAATCACATCAGTCAAAGGACTGCAGGTCTGTCACTGTGGGATTTATTTTCTAAACTTTGTAAGTTGTCAGACTTTGTCCCTCTTAAAACAGCTGCCTGGTCAGGAACCTGTGCAGCCATTAGTCTGCAGTTTCAACCACTAAACCCTTACCTCTCCCAACCTTATTTACCCTCTTCTCCCTTACAAAATCACATTGCTTGACACTCATAACAGGATGATTTAGAAAATACAACAAATTTTCTCACATTCTTATGAGACTTCCTCATTTGTTAGTTTTGGTAAATGTTCTCATCAGTGGGTGGAAAAAAAAATATCAATTTGAACAATGGTTACTTTGTGCCTGAATTCATTATTGCAATTCTGCAAGCAACACTTGTAACAGACACTTAGTGTGTTCTAGGAGAGCAGTATCAAGCGCACAGAGAAATAAAAAACTGCTAGTCTAGGTACCAGCCCATCATCTTTATTTTTAGCTGCTGAAATGTAGTCATAAATATATTCTGAAATTCATGTGGAACACATGCACTTCACCATGTCTTATAAGAGAATCCCTGTTTCGGTTTTTGCCCCTTAACCTCACACAGCCACGCACAAGACTTACGGCACATTTTACAAGGATTATTATGTCCTTTGACGCAAAAAGGATTAAATAGTAATTTGTAATCCAGGCTTCTATTCTGCTGTGGAAATTGATGCTCATCGTTTCCCTGCCTCATAGTAGATAATGTGCACCTTCTGGAAAGGATTTCACGAGGGAAGAGCATAGCGGTTCTTTGTTACTGGATACTAAGAAGGCAAAATGAGACCCCAAAAGAGATTACGCAAAAACCAGTCTTAAACGTGTTATGTAAGAGTTCAAAGATTGGAGAGCAGCTGAGGAGAGCAGCGCACGGGGCCCTCGTGCTCAAACCGCAGCGCTCTCGCTTTGCGTTCATGCTACCGGATTAACACAGCAGGGATGAGACCCATCTAATGGCTGCTCTTTATGTAATGCAAAATAAGATAAGCATTCTAGAAAAACACTGCATTGATTTGTGACTTTACTGCTGCTTGGGGCACCAGGAGAGGAACACGTGGCATGTGTTGTATTGCACTTGGGGGTACCCGCAACATCAACAGGCAGGGGAGAGGAAGGGGGCATGCAGCACAGGTAGAGAAAGTCATTTTAAGAGCCTGCTGCCCAACTGCTAGACCCACTCCTGTTGTTGACTTTGACCGGAATTCTTCCTCCTTCTCCAAAGAACCCAGGTCCCAAGAAAGGAGCAAGCCCTACATGAGCAAGGCTATGGAAAAACCCAGGGACCATTCTGTGCACTGCAGTTATGGAGCTCCAAGTTACGGATCCCTGACAGCGAGCATCCCGAATTCACCTTCTCGAAGGCTTCTGGAGTTTCTACCCTTTGGAGTCTATGGGACTCACACGGCAGTCTGCTACAGAGCACCAGGCAGTGTCACACAGTAAATACACCCGTAAGGTACTTGCTGTGGCCAAAGATAGCTGCACCTCTCTGTTGTAATTAAATCCTTTCCTGTGTCAAAAACTTTTTTAAATAGCTTACGATACATTTTGAACAAAAAGCAAAATATGAAAAGTTATTGAGAGATGAAACTTTCACTGTCATGTTTTAAATTGTCATGAGAAGCCTTCTTTCTTTGCAAAGGTATATCCAGAGGCAAGCTCTATGTACAGCAATCACAAGAGCTTGCCCTCAGTGAAACGCAGGCAGTGACTCTCTGTTGCCCACCCCTGAAGGAGGTGAGCAGACAGACCTGTTCCTGCGACTGCCCCATCCCAGTGTCTTCACACTGCTGGTGTGGGGACAAGTGCCCTCGGCTGTGCTCGCTGCGAAGATGTCACTTCAGGTCAGGCGCACGCTGCTTCTGCAGGCTGCTGGCATTGCCTCTAGCCGTTCCTCAGTGCCACCACTGCCCTGTTAGCTTCAACCATCAATAAATACCACGTACACTAACTCGACCACCTTTTCTGCAGCTGATGTGACCACCCTCCCACCACCTCTCTGCTGGCAGAGCTGCGGGAGAAATAGACAGTGGATAAAAACATGAAGATTCAAAAAAAAAAAAAAAATCCAAAAAAATCCAAACCCCAAAACCCAAAACCAAACACCACTACCACCACCCAAAAACAACTCCCAAAAACTCCATCAAGATTTCTTCACTTTTGCACTGCTGTTTTGTTCCTTCATTGCTGTGCTGCATTTGGGGCAAGCCTGCTTCGTGACTGAGGAATCCGTCACCAGGATCTGGACTGATTATATACCACAGCTAATTATTGATTCCAAGACTTCTCACAGGCTTCTCCCAGTGCAAAATATCAACTGATTGTACAAAGTCCACAAACACAGTCTTTGTGGTCTGAGCAACAAGTGGGATGGCAGGCAGGGTCTAAATTTCACTATATCCCTGAAATCCACAATACTGGAGCAGTGCCATTTAGAACATCCTACTTCAACCCTCTTTAGGCATCCCTTATATTATTTGCTGTATCTCTTATCACTGCAGATCACCAGGTCCACAGGGTGATGTCAGCTCAGGAAAGCTGCAAACAGGAAAAACAGTCAGAATTACAAAAAGTTATAGAGGGTGAAAGAGCCAGCCAGGCCTGTTATTCAAGTCATATAATTCCCTAGGAAATAATTCTCCTGGGACTCCATTACAACAGCTGAACAGCGCAGGTGGTGCCCTGCTTTCAGTTTTAAATCACAATCCACTTGGGAACTGGGTAAGACTGGACATCCAACCGTGCAAAATTTTCATTTTATTTTTTAAGTGGAGCGTGCACGAGAGTGATTTTAGACTGAAAAAGACAGCCTTATCCATAGGCCTCCTCTAGTTCTGACTTACTGATTCAACTAACATTCTTCGCTGAAGCTTGACACGTTTTTACACAAAAGCATAAGATGTCAGGCTTTATACCTACATCAGATTTCATGATGTTTATTCCTTCTGTCTGAATGGGCACTATAAAAAAAAAAAGCACCACCACCACCAAACAACAAGCCAACCAGAACTGTAGCAATAACTTCGCCTTTTTACTACAGTTGTCTTTTTTACTATGGTTGTCTTTTTTTACATAAGTCACAAATAATTAATGCTAATTTCAGTTTGAAGTTAATGCAAATACATATTTTCCAATGAATGCTCTCAGAGATTTAAGTAATCTATTTCTAAATTCTGTTATTAAAATCCTGGAGATTTAGAGCTCATTAACTGACTGTTCAAAATTTTACAAAAAAATCTGATTATACCCCAGTAGCAAACAACTAAGGAAAATACCCATCTTACCAACTAATCTCTCTAAAAATTATCTTGAATACACCACAATTTCATATTTTGTTTACTGCCCTATGCAATTTCCTCAACCAAAAGCGAAGGTCAAAAGAACACGCTTTGCTGAATGACAGCCCTGCACCTTTGCTGGACTCCAGTGCTGCTGTACCCCAACACAGCTGGGATGCAGACCTTTCTGTTCTGTGGCTAACAACTCTCTACACCAGAATGAACATCATCTCACTGAGACTTCATAGAATCATAGATTCATTAAGGCTGGAAAAGACCTCTCAAATCATCAAGTCCAACCGTCAACCCACCACCAGGGCAGGACCGGCACTTGGCCTCGTAGAACCTCATACGACTGGCCTCGGCCCCTCAATCCAGTTTGTTGATCTAGTCTGTCTCTTCCTACCTGAGCACCCAAGCTAGCTAGGAAGGATCTTGGGGTATCCAAATTCCCCTGCCTTGATCAAACCAGGGCTGTGAACAGGATCTCTTAGCAGCCAGGAGTGGATCCACAGCAGTCCCAGGAGAGGGAAACTAGACAGTGGTTACACCCATTGCTTAAAACCACATCATAACTGATTAAAAATCAGATCTTAGTTCCCAGCCCAGTATCCTTCACAGGAATTACAGTATCAGGCTGATGATTCCTAACTGTTTCAAAAGCAGGCCCTAGCCTGAGTGGAAGAATAAAAGATAGCAGAAGCTAATAAAAAACATGATGAGAATAGATAGCTGGCGCGCAGCACTAGAGGGGAAAAGTGTTATTCCACATCTTCCAATAAGCGTGACCTAGCTTATTAGATACAATCTCTGCTTTAATATTAAAGCCATACA